CGTGCTTAATCTAGCACGGCCGTGCTGATGCATGGAAAATGGCACGGCCGTGTTGCCTGGTCAGAGTTGCTGGGGCTATCTGGCACGGGCGTGCCAAATGTGGCACGGGCGTGCCAAATGTGGCACGACCGTGCTACTTGTGCATCTTGTGTAAACTCTGGAAAAACCCCTTAGTTCCTCGTATACGACCAAGGTTGGCTCGATCACGTACCAATGGCTCAAGACCCGACTAAACTCAGTCAATTATACCTGAAAACACATCAAAAACAACCCGAAACCCGTGAAGCACATGATACAAGGGATATAAGCATAACAAGGCAATAAACGACCAAAATGGTCCTAAATACGTCCAAAATCATCCTATTATATACTCTAAAGCGCGCCCTAAAGTGCGCTTATCAAAACCCCCCAAGCTACCCTTTTGCTAGTCCTCGAGCAAAACTAAGGGATAAACACACACACAAGATCAATTAAACTATTGCCATTACATATAAGTCAAGTTTAAGCACAGAATAAAGTCAACGGATCCTACTTAGAACAACCATGCATGGAATAAAAACTCACTCAAACAAGCAACGAGACACACAATCCAAGGTATCGTTGATCAAAATGTGAACAGGACCTAAGCCAAGCATAGAGAATAAAGGAATCATGCTTCCCTCTAAGCCCAACCAAAACAGCCACGTCCTCCCCTTTTGCTTCAAATCACCACCCTAATTGGCCCCTCGTGATTCCTCGAAGGAACCGGAAAAAGTGATATTTTGAAGAAATAACAAAGGTATCCCGACATCTCAATTACGCATAATCTTTCCATAGGGTTGAAAAGTATCTCCCTCCACCGTTTGAGAACCGAACACCTCTAAAGTCTAAGTATCTTAAAAGGTTGTAATGTATTGGCAATGGGTAAGGTAGGTGAAAACAATTTAAAATGTGGAGTTAAATCCTAAATGAAGCGCAAGAATCACGATTCTCAAAAACAAAGCTCAAGAGATGCAATTCACATTCCACAATAAACATTGATCACACTCTTACACATCCCAAACTCTCTATGTTATACACACTCAAATCACCTTTTTCAAACTTCAATGATTTTATTTATATGTCCTTGCCTTTTTCACAATTCGGACGGCTTTTCTCTTTTTTTTTTTTTTTGATTTTCTTTTCTTTTTTTTTCTTCTTTTTTTTTCAAAAACAAACTTTCATATTACATCTTTACAATTAAGCTCACTTTCAAACTTGCTCAAACCAGCTATCGATCATTATTCTTGATTTATACACAATAAGCTCAAACAAACCTTGTGATGTAAACGCTTCACAACTAAGGGTTGGTAAAACATCGGCCATCGGGTTTGTAACATGGGTAACCAAGAATGGAATTAAAGGCTCAACACGGTTAGCAAGTAAGATGATGTAAAAAGAAAATTAATTTGTAACAAAACAAAAGGAACAAGAATAAGAAAAATGAAAAAGGTGCCCTCTACCTCCCTTAAAAGTGTCAAATCGGTCTTGGGAGCTACAAGTCAACACAAAGATCGAAACGTGCGTAATCAAGGATCCAAATATGCCACTCAAGAAGAATGATGAAGGCTAGAACAATTAAACCTCACGGGATTCAAAAACAAAGCAACTACCAATTAAGGGGATCAAATCCACAAATGGGAAGCAACTCCATCTTACCACAATTCAATGGCTTAGAGTTTCACACGATAACAACGTTCTATCAAGCTACCCTTCGCCTAGACTCGTCTACATTGATCAACAATAGACTCAAACTGTGTATTCATCACTGGCTTAAGTAGAGATAGGCATTCCACACACATTCATTCACGTTTCGAATCCAAATATGAGAATTATTCCAAAAGTTTATGCAATTAGACAAGTTTATCATGATCCAACAATATAGGAAAAGACTATGAGGCAACTCATATAAGCTAAATTACACATCCTCATAACAGAAGCTTTTCCTATCTATTACACACATATATACAACTAAGTAATCTAGACAAGTTAAATGGCACATAAAGAGGCATAAAAATCACATAATAATCCCAATCGACAAGCAAGTGATCAATTGATATCAACATCAACGATCCCAGGTTCCTTAGAACCGATCAAACATCCTCAAACCATTCAACTTCTTCCTAAACTAAACTATCCTAAGCACACAAAGAGAAAAAGGCAAAGATCTCACCAAATTTGCGTCCCAGGAGCTCCAATTAGCGGCCATAAATTGGTTCTTCATACTCGTGTCGCTTCTCGAACGATCCCAAGCTGCAAAAAGAAGAGACATACTAGCAAACAAGTTAAGGTTAGTCCTAAGAAAGCAGTAAATCTTTTTGTATTTTTTTTTTCCTTTTCTATTTTTTTTTTCAAGGAAAAGAAAGCAATTAAAGACTAAACTACCCCTTATCTACAAACATAAGTAAGACCCCCCCCCCCTCCCCAAGCTAGAATCAAACATTGTCCTCAATGTTTACACATCAAGGACTTACAAATGTGGGAAAGGGGCAACTAAGGGAAAAAGGGGATCACGAGCTAGGGCCGCCCAGGCCACGAGGTAGGCGGGAAGCCATGCCGTCGACACTCCTCTTCAGATCTTTGAAGGCGGAGGCCATATCCGAGTTTGTCAAACGCAAACCCGCTACCTCGCTCCTCAAATCATCAAGTCCCTGGCGGAGCGAGGCGTAGTCCTGCGCCGGGATCTGCTGGGCCTCATCTGGGCCGTCCTCCTCATCATCATCATCATCGTCAGCATCATCACCTCCTTGGCCCCCATGGGCCTGCTAATCTCCAGGGTGAGCCTGTGGACTGCGGTCGATATACTTCGTGTTCCCGTCCTCGTGCCAGATGAAGTTGGGGTCGAAGATCCAGTTTTCCATGTTGTAAACCGCCGTCCTCTCTGGATCGGGGAGGTAGACATATGTCTTCCCTCCGACGAGCCATAAGTAACAGTCCGACATGGTAGTCCCATCAAGCCATTGCATGGCTTTCAGGGTGCGCATATCTAATCTCGTAGTCCCTAGAATAGCCTGCAAGTCAGAGAAATCAATGTCGTTAAATTGGGCAAGTATGGTGATCATGCCACCTATGGTAATATCGCCCTTCCCCCGGGCTACCCCATCTAGGTGGTCAACTAACCACGCCCCCATGTCTAGCCTCCCATCCCCTCGGGTGAGATGCCATATAAAATTTAGCTCCCTAATGGAGACTACTCCCGAACTATCTCCCCTAGCGAAGATAGTGGGGGAAAAGGTCCTATGAGACAATCTAAATGCGGGATTGACGATGGAGGTCGCCTTATCCCTACAGGGGTCCCTATCTACCTTCCCCGTAATCTGACGCCAAAATGAACCCGGCTCATAGTGTTTGGAATGGCCATCTTTAGGACCATATTTCAGGTCGGATTGCCATCCAAAGGCAGCATTAACTTGGGCCATAGACATTTGAATAGTGCCCAAGTTCATTAATTGGAAGGACAAGTACCGGGGTGAGTTATTCTCATCCTGGTGTACGTACAAAGAAGCTAAAAACTCGAGGTTAGGCCTCTTATAGGTGAGTGCATGCATGTTCAAGAAAGAATCAAAATTAGTGTACGAAAATAATTAAATCATGTCGTTCTCTATACCTAAGGCCCTAGCGGCCAAAGGGTCGTAGAATTTTGTAGGTCGAATCGGTCGAAGGGACAAATTTAAAAATTTGTCCATGAAGGACGGGTTGCCAAAAACAATCCCCGTGGTATCCACCGGTGGTGGAACCACGGTTGAGGGCCCTTCGTCCTGACTCGGCCTTCTTCTAGATGTTTTAGTCCTAGGCATTGTTATGTGAATTAGATTAAGCACAAATCACTAAATAGCAAAGAGACTACACCTAAACCAAACAATGCAAGAACATAATCGATGGATGATTCAACAAGAAGGTACTCTAAACAATTAAACCTAGCATGCAAAGCACCTAAACACAACAGTCTCTAAGTCACACAAATAATTGGCAAATAAACACTAATCAATAGCAAATAATCAATAAGAACAAATGAAATTGGACAACAAATGGCAAAAAAAAAACAAAAGAGTATAGAACGAATTCACCAATACTCCGCGAATTTGTGATGTGTCGAAAATCTAGGGGGACCAAAATCACTTCCATCTGCTTGAGGAGTGCTTCAATGTATGCTAGATGTTGAAATCTTGAAGAGAATTGTGCAAAATAGGGTTTGTTGTGAGGATTTGGGGAAGAATTTTGGGGGTTAGGGTTTGCTAGAGAGAGAAAGGGTATGAAAGTGTGAAGGATGATATAAGGAGATTGGGGAAATAAAGGAGAGATTGGGGAAAAAGTGATTTAAAAGATGCGAATTTCTGAGAATTTCCCGAGTTGCACGGCCGTGCTGATTTTGGCACGGCCATGCTATATCTGGCACGGTCGTGCTATATCTGGCACAGCCGTGCTACTTGGCTGAGTACTAAGTAATTTTTTTTTTTCCGCAAAATTTTGACGCGGCCGTGCCAAATTTAGCACAACCGTGTTGGCATGTCAGTAGGCTTTTTGAGTTTTGGCACGACCATGTTAAATTTGGCACGGTCGTGCTGATTTTTTGCTGAAGAAGGCTTCTGATGGCACGGACGTGCTGAATCTGGCACGGCCGTGCTGTCTGCTGCAGCCTGCAGTCCTTCTTCTTCCTCTAAAACGTGCATCACTCCAATCTTTCTGACTTCCAACTAGTCCTTTACCTACACAAAGACATACATATAGCACACGAAAGAGAATTAAATTAGGAGCTAAACGAATAAAAAGGAAAAAAAAAGAAACTACTCTAAGAAAAAGCAAGAAAATCGGGTTGCCTCACGAAAGCGCTAAGTTTAACGTCGATAGCTTGACGTGGTCACATTCAACACTTGTGACCGCATTTGAATACATCAATCACACCAACATGTGCTCCTTCATAGTATATCTTCAATCTTTGCCCATTTACCACAAAAGACTGCAATCCACTCGAATCATAGAGTTCAACCACCCTCGGAAGGTAGAATCGCCTTGACGGTGAATGGTCCCCACCATCTTGACATCAACTTACCGGGGAAGAGTTTCATCCTAGAATTGTACAAGAGGACCTTGTCTCCGATATTGAACACCTTTCGCTGTATTTTCCGGTCATGCCACTCCTTGGATCGTGATTTGTAGAGGCTTGCACTATCATACGCATCTATTCGAAGTTCCTCAAACTCATGAAGCTCCAACATCCGTTGCTCCCCCGCGTTTGCTAGATCAAAGTTTATCTTCTTGATTGCCCATTGAGCGCGGTGCTCTAATTCGACCGGAAGGTGACATGCTTTCCCGTAGACCACGCGGTATGGGGTAGTGCCAATGGGAGTCTTGAAAGCTGTCCGGTATGCCCAAAGTGCATCATCGAGCTTGTCGGACCAATCTTTCCTTATTCTTCGCAACCGTCTTCTCAAGAATGGACTTAATCTGTCGGTTGGAGACTTCCGCTGCCCACTAGTTTGAGGGTGATAGGTCGTCCCAAACCTTTGATGGACTCCATTCTTGCGAAGCATTCTTTGAAAGCCCCATGCACAAAGTGTGACCCATTGTCACTTATAACCGCTCTAGGAACCCCGAACCTTGGAAATATGATCTTCTTGAAGAGCTTCACTACCACCTCGTGGTCATTTGTTGGGGAGGCGATTGCTTCCACCCACTTTGACACATAGTCCACTGCCACAAGTATGTATTGGTTCCCACGGGAAGAAGGGAAAGGTCCCATAAAGTCTATGCCCCAAACATCAAAGATTTCAAGTTCAAGTATGGGTTGTTGGGGCATTTCATTCTTCTTAGAAACGTTTCCACTCCTTTGGCACGCATCACATGTCTTCACAAACGCCCACGAGTCTCTAAATATGTGAGGCCACCATAGCCCACATTGCAAAACCTTTTGAGCCGTCTTGTTAGCCCCCATGTGACCTCCACAAGGATCGGAATGGCACATTCTCAGCACATTTTGAGTTTCCTCATCCGGAACACTCCTTCTTAGTAGACCGTCCACACCTCTTTTGAACAAGATCAGATCATCCCAAATGTAGTGTCTAGCGTCTCTCCTAAGATTCTTCCTTTGGTTCTTGGTGTACTCGGGAAGGAGCTCCCCACAAGCTAAGTAGTTTACCAAATCCGCGAACCAAGGCAGTCCCTTCTCCTTAATGAGGTACAAGACATCATCCTTCAATTCATCACAAATGGGCACCCTATCATTATCTTGTTGTTCCCTTTCCATGCGTGAAAGGTGATCCGCAACCACATTCGCGGCCCCTTTCTTGTCCCGTATCTCCACATGAAACTGTTGCAAAGAAAGGACCCATCGGAGGAGACGTGGTTTGGACTCCTTTTTCGAAATTAGGTACTTGATAGTGGCATGGTCGGTGTAAACAATTGTCTTCGAACCAATGAGGTAGTCCCAAAACTTTTCAAAAGCATGAACGATGGCTAGGAACTCTTTCTCCGTGGTGGTGTAATTCATTTGTGCTTCATTCAAGGTCTTTGACATATAGTAGATAACGTGAATCCTCTTTTCAACTTGTTGCCGAAGAACACCCCCGATAGTCGTATCACTTGCATCACACATCAACTCAAATGGTAGGTCCCATCTTGGTCCTAGCACTATCGGAGCCGAGATCAAAGCCTTCTTGAGTGTGTTGAAAGCATGTAAGCACTCTTCATCAAACTTGAAATCAACTTCCTTTTGCAGTAGGGCATTTAAAGGCTTGGCTATGAGAGAGAAGTCCTTTATAAACCGCCTGTAGAAACCCGCATGCCCTAGAAATTATCTTACCCCTTTTGCATTGACCGGTGGTGGTAGTTTTGCGATGACTTCAAACTTTGCCTTATCCACCTCTATCCCGGCATTTGAGATCTTGTGACCAAGGACAATCCCTTCCTCTACCATGAAGTGACATTTCTCCCAGTTGAGGACCAAGTTCACCTTCTCACATCGTTGCAAGCACTTTCCCAAGTTCACTAAGCAATCATCAAAAGACGTGCCTCCAACTGAAAAATCATCCATGAAAACCTCCATCTCGGCTTCCAACATGTCCCCAAAAATGCTCATCATACACCATTGAAAGGTGCCCGGTGCATTGCATAGTCCAAAAGGCATTCTCCTGTAGGCAAATGTACCATATGGACAAGTAAAAGTTGTCTTCTCTTGGTCATCGGTGTTGATAGGTATTTGGAAAAACCCCGAATAACCGTCAAGAAAGCAATAGTACTTGTGCCTAGTTAGTCTTTCGAGCATTTGATCAATAAATGGGAGGGGAAAATGGTCCTTTTTGGTAGATGCGTTTAGACGTCTATAGTCTATGCACATCCGCCAACCGGTTACCGTTCTAGTTAAGATGAGCTCACCATTTTCATTCTCAACCACAGTCATTCCCCCCTTCTTAGGGACAACATGCATAGGGGAAACCCATTTAGAGCTCGAAATGGGGAAGATGATACCTGCATCAAGGAGTTTGGTGATTTCTTTCTTCACCACCTCCCCCATTTGAGGATTGAGTTTTCTCTGCCTCTCTATGGAAGGCCTCGCACCATCCTCGAGAGTTATTTGATGCATACATATAGCAGGGCTAATACCTTTGAGGTTATGAATGGTATAGCCTATGGCACTTTGATGCTCTCTCAATACATCACATAACTTCCAAATTTGATCCGCATCTAAAGAAGAATTCACGATGACAGGGTAAGTTGAATTAGGACCAAGAAATTCATACCTTAGATGTGTTGGTAAAGGTTTTAATTCTACCTTAGGGGCCTCATTAACCTCTTTTGCAGCGGCTATAGCAATTGCATACTTGGTTGAGATCTCCATGTGCTTATGTTCTCCTTCATCTCCGTCAAGAAATTGCTCTTCCATGTCCCTGTCCTCCTTGGTATCACTTGGCCCAAGATCATGGTTAGAAGAGAGCAATTGTGTATGCATACTAGAAACAATCAAATCAATAGTGTCAATCATCATGCAGTTTTCGGAACTAGAACATGGATATTGCTTGCTTTTATTCAAATCAAAATCAAGGACCTCCTCTCCTACCATTAAAGAAATCTTAGCACTCTTCACATCAATGAGAGCACCTGAGGTAGCTAGGAAAGGTCGTCCAAGAATAATGGGTATATGATTATCCTCATCCATTTCCAAAACCACAAAATCAACAGGTATCACAAATTTCCCAACCCGTAGGGGAACATCCTCCACCTTACCCTTAGGAAATTTGATCGAACGATCAGCTAACTGCAGGGTAATGTTGGTAGGAAGAAGTTCTCCTACCCCTAAACGTTGATATACAGAATATGGCATAAGACTAACATTAGCCCCAAGATCACATAATGCATTATCAAATTTAATTTTATTAATAGCAAAAGGGATTGAGAAATTACCTAGATCTCCTAATTTAGGAGGCATTTTGTTCATAATGATTGCACTACAATTCGCAGTGAGGTTAACAGTTTCCACCCCATCACAATTCCTCCTACCCCTCAAAATATCTTAACAAAACCTAGCATAGTTAGCCATTTGCTTTATAGCATCGGTGAATGGTATGGAAAGGTGAATTTGTTTCAAAGTCTCCAAAAACTTACCAAATTGGACATCTAGCTTGTGTCTCACGAACTTATGGGGGTAAGGAAGTTTTTGCAATAGATTAGGTTCTTTAACTTGAGTACCTTCCTTTTCTTTTGGGACCTCAATAGTTTTATCATTCTATCTGGTCCTCTCATCCTCACTTTCTACAACATTATCAGTGGTAGGTGGAGTCACAGGTTGACTCTTTGGTGGTATTACATTATCGCTCCCTATCAAAGTCTTTCCACTCCTAGTGGTGATAGCATTCACAGAATTTTTAGGGTCAATACCTTGAGGCGAGAGTTTTGAAACTCCAACCCCATCTTTTATAGCACTAGCCAACTGAGAAATCTGGGTTTCAAGCATCTTATTATGTGTCATCACTTCACTAAACGTTTTATCACTGGTGGGCATGAAAGTGTTGAACATTTTACACTGTGCTTCCATCATCTCCTCCAAACTAGCCCTCTGCGGTGGTCCTTGAGCATAGTAATTGTCATTAGGAGCTCGGGAACCACGCACATTAGATTGTTGGGGATTTTGATTTTGGAAGTTCCTGTTACCATTGTTATTCTAGTTTCCCCTGTTATTGGCATTCATGTTTTGATTGTATTGCCCTTGATTACCCTGATTACCTACATTTTGTTGGTATTGATTTTGATTACCAAAGTTACCATGTTGATTGTAGGATCCTTGGGGATTTTGGTCCCTTTGGTTCCTGTTTCCCCACTGGTTTTGCTGTTGGTTATCAAAATTATTACCTTGTTGATTATTATTGTTCCCTCTTTGATGTGGTGGTAAATATCTGTTATTGTCATTCCTAGGTCTATTATCATAAGACAAGGCATTAACTTGTTCATTATCACAATCATTGCCATCATTACAATTAGATTGAAATTGGGAATCTAAGTTATAGGCAGAGGTATCATGATCATAGGATCCACAGTTTTCACAGAAAGTACATCCAGCAGGCATATTATAGGAGTTAGAATTCGTACCTGCTCCCTTAGAATGGGTTGGAAGATTTTGATGTGGTGGGGCATCGAGCTTTTCTTTGATAATAGACATCTCCTTCCCTATATTGGCAATTTGCGATGTCAAATTTCCAATTGCGTTGAGGTGATCTACCGAATAGACCGCTCCTCCACTCTTGCTCGTAGCTTCCCGCTCTCCATCTTGCCAATCCATGTGGTGTCGTACCACATCTTCTATGATATCAATGACTTCTTCTTCGGTTTTGTTCATAATGGGGCTACCTGCTCCCGCATCCAAACTAATCTTCCCTTGAGGACTCAATCCTCCATAGAATATTTGTAGCACCTAATATGTTGGAATTCCGTGGTGTGGGCACTCTCTTTGATACTCCTTGTACCTTTCCCATGCTTCGTAGATTGACTCCCCACTCCTTTGCCGAAATCCTTAAATCAAAGCTCTAGCATCGGCCGTCTTCTTTTGAGAATAGAATCTTCCCAAAAATGTTGTCGTGACATCATCCCAAGTGTGTAGAGTGTTTGGTTTAACCTCCTTCTCTAACCATTCGAGGGCTCTCCCGATGAGTGAAAATGGGAAAAGCTTTAATCTCACGAACTCTTGATTCACCCCATTGACCTTGATAGTGTTGTAGTAATTCTCAAATTCATTCAGATGAGCCAAAGGGCGCTCATGCTTTTCACCACTAAACTGCCTTCGCTCGATGAGGGTGATCATGGACGACCGGATCTTGAAGTCATTGGCCTCAGTAGTGGGTGGAGCAATCCCACTTGAAGCTCTATATGCCCCGGGAGTTCCCAACTCCTTAAGAGGTCGTGGTGGTGGCTGATTTTCTGTCATTGGAATTGGTTGTGTGCTTGGGCCGGTTTCCTTTCCTTGAGATTTTGATGATTTCGATCGGGATTTTCGATTACTTTTCAAAGTCCTTTTGATTTCAGGATCGAAGGGTATTAACTCTCCCTGTTTACACCTGCGCAAACACACTAACCAAACCAATCAAATAGCAGGGCTACAAGTGTTGCCAAAAAGAAAAATCTTTTTGTATTTTTGTTTTAAGAACTAGAATCAAAAAATCAAAAAGCAACTATCAAACACCGTTCCCCGGCAACGACGCCATTTTGACAAGCGTTAAATCGGTCGCTACAATCTAACTCTTAATCAAACAATACTTATACGAACACCCTATAACCAGTATATTGGCAAATAAAGGTTCGGTCCACGAAGAACGGGAGTAACTGCTAATCGATCCTAAAACCTAAGCTAGTTTGAAATCAATGGAAGATGGTGCTCTAAAATACTACTAATAAGATGAAATAATCAATAAACTAAGACACTAGGGAGAACGGGAATCCACCTAACCATTGGTAACTAAGCAACAAGGGATCACATAGACAAACGGGATATGAAAAGACTATATGTCTGATCAATATCATGTGGTAGGAAGACAACGGGCAATACTAAGCTTGGCTTTCTCATGCACTTAACATTACTAGATACATAATAAAACCACATTCAACAATGAAATACTCAATTCACAATCTCTTGTTCAAATCAAGAATATCATGCAATCAAATTCAAGATTCTAGGTTAGCTACTCCTATTATAATGAATTAACATGCAATCGCATATAATCAATTTAATCACAATCCGTTTATCAAAATCAACCCTCAATTACATAGATTACCTAGGCCGGTGTTTCATCCTGACACCCTAGCTAGGAGACTACTCACACATATTCATAATCAAAGCAATAATGAATTCTAAAAGCATAATACATCTAAACATGAATTCTGATTAAGGAATAATAAAGCTTGATTAATAAACAAGAATATATAATACCAATTGTATTGATGCAAATCAATGACAAAGTTTGGAACTTTGATATCCGATGTCAATGAATAATACAAAGAATCCCAACGAATCTTGCTTCGAATCAATCCGGAAAACTACGATTAAGTAGATCAAATCAATGGAATCTCAACTACGGAAGTGCTCTCTATCTCTCTACAAAGTCTCTCTGAAAAATACGTCTCTAATCTATCTCAAAATCTGTCTCTCTTAACCCTTACAATCGGGCTATATATATGTGTTTTAAATTGGAAAGTAAATCGCAGGCTGCCCTTCGTAAATTAGCACGGCCGTGCTAGAAGTGGCACGGCCGTGCAAGCATGGCAGTAGCTGATCCGCAATATCTCCAATTTTGGCACGGTCAAGCTAATGCCTGGCACGGCCGTGCTGATGCATGGAAAATGGCACGGCCGTGCTTCATCTCTGCACGGCCGTGTTGCCTGGTTAGAGTTGTTGGGGCTGTCTGGCACGGGCGTGCCAAGTGTGGCACGACCGTGCTACTTGTGCATCTTGTGTAAACTCTTGATAAACCCCTTAGTTCCTCGTATACGACCAAGGTTGGCTCGATCACGTACCAATGGCTCGGGACCCGACTAAACTCGGTCAATTATACCTGAAAACAC